GAAAAAGATGCTCGATGCTAAAAACTTTTAATGCAGAGTATAAATGTAATGACAAATAATTTACAAATGCATCAGGCATTTTCTATTGATTTCTTTTTGGTTTTGAAATTGTTTATAGTGTGTGTGGCAATATCGATAGAAGAAATATGTCTGTGAAGGTTCTTTTTTTTTCCAGGTCATAGTCTACCTAGAGGTAGTTATGCACCTTTATATTGGCTTGTTCTTTAATGTTGAAGATGTTCCCTACTCATCAACGTAGCTTCCTCAGAGTGTCAAGATCATACTCCAGCATTAACCACTTGCCCTCCAAAGGATTTACCCCCCTTCCTGACCAAGCCATTTATTTGCATCACTTTAACTGGCAATTGAGCGGTCATGCAACGCTGCACCTAAATTAAATTTATGTCCTTTGTTCCCCCACAAATACAGCTTTCGGTGGTATTTGATTGCCTCTGCGTTTTTTATTTTCTGCACTATAAACAAAAGACTGACAATTTTGAGAAAAAAACAATAATTTTGACTTTTTGCTATTAAACATGTCCAATAAAAACATTTAAAAAATCAAATTTCAATTTATGCTATGTGTGCATTCCACTGTAAGCACACTGCTTTACAAAGCAGTATGCAGGAGCTGACAGGGGCGATAACTGTATTGTTTGCATACAGTTCTCTTCCCCGTCAGTAATACTCGGCTACCACCGGGTGCCAGCGAGTAATCACTGGCTGGGATCTGGTGATTGACAGCCGAGGTCACGGATGGCGGAACGCGCACGCCCCCTGCCCGGAACTGTAAAATTATGTATATATACGCGCACCCCTGCTGCCCTGTAGCAGTATTTCTGCTATAGGGTGGAGGGGAAGCAGTTAACACCCAGATGGATAACTCAGTCATGTTACTTTATTAACGATTGCATGTGTCAAAGCAGATATTTATTGATCAAGAACAAAATCGGAGGTGTGAAGGTTTCTGAAATGACCTCTGAGTTCTAATTTACAATCACCATGATACCACGAAGTCTTGATTTGGATGTTAAGTGTTTGAGTTACATGTCAGAAGGTGCGAACTGTTTAATTGTCAGGATAGAGATGCTAAAACGACATTATATTAGAGTGACAGAGGTGTATGATGTACCTTACTGTCATTGAAAACATGTTTCTTTTCCTTAAAGCAGCATGAAATCCAAGCAAACATTTATTATATTGCAGCCTACCAATTCTTAGATGCAATGTCTGCATTAGTTTTCTTTTTTAGACTTTCTTTCTTCTATTTTTTTCCTGGCAATCTGGTCAGTAAGTCTATTTTTCAAAAGAACAAGCTCTCTTCAAGATGTATCAGTTTACAGGAATGGGGCTAGTCACTGAACACTGACTGGGGTGCTTACAATGATCAACTTTATTTCTGTAAAACCTCTGTCCTAAAAAGGAATAAAAAACAGTTTGCTGTAATTGCTTATAAAGTGTTAGCTGAAGTTTGGCTTCAATTTGTCAGTGTATTTAAATCTGCTAGTACATTTAACAATACCCCCCCGACTGACAATGCTGATGTCTGCTGTGCCCCCTGTGCTCTTTCATCCAGAGTGGAGGCAATCAAATACAGGTGTGTTACCAGGTAAAAACGAAGAGAAAAAGCCTATAAAACAAAACTAATGTAGCCACCACATCTAATGATTGGTAAGCTGCAATATATTACATTTTTGCTTTTTGGGTTTAATACTGCTCTAAAGGCTGCTTCACCTTTTCCAGAAAAGAGCCTATGCAGTCAAGGGACTCCAGTAGAAATAAAAAAAAACTGTGCAGCTTTGTAAAATGTTCATTCATTTTATTGTCATATTTGTAGGCCATTTGTGCCCCCCTGGATTCCAACATTCTGCCTTGTTACTAGGACATGAAAACCATTGAACACTGAATCCTAGATTACAGGAGTGAAAACCAATGTTTCTTTTGGCCAGGCTTCCTGAGATGGGCTGTTTTTATTACCTTGTTGGGCCGCTTCACTACATAGATCATTTTCTGGAAAACTGACTTATCTTTTAATCTATAAGACTACTGCTGCAGCATTCACCCTCCTATGTTGGGCCAGATATTTTATTGAGTTGTTTCGTATCAGGTCTTTGAGTTGCTCACTACACTGGACTGCTTATGCCAAGTATCTGCTTATATCACTTGTGTCTGCCTGATGGGTCTTTTGGATGTACAAGCATCTGTCTCAGTGTGTTACTGGGTTTAAAAAATAAAAGGAAGTGATTGAAGAAGTTGATGTCTATGGAGACTGGATATGATATAAAGAAAACATGTATTCCATATAAAATAATTATCCCTATGCTGTCCTACTAACGGTTAGCCGACAGCTAGCTAACAAAACTGACAGAATCAGCACTGTGTTTTATTACAAAACTGAATTTACTTCTGTGAATAGTTCTGTAAACATAATCACATACACTGAAGTTACAATATGCTTGTACATGTCTATTACAAATGAATACAAAGAACACATTTCTTGCAAATGGCTACCTATAAATCACATTGAACATTTTTTAATGTGATCTAGCTATGTATGTGACTTTAATAAACACAATGAAAGAACTTACAGGCAAATGTCTGTCAAATGGAGAATGGAGGCCTTCACTGGTGTTCTTCTAGAAGCTGAATGGCTGCAGTGGTTTATGGGAAATCTTTATTTTTAACAAACATTTCCTGTTATTTATTGATAGGGGTGCATACTAGCATCTAGTTCTGTTTTCTGCTTCAAGGAGTTGGCTTCTAACTCTGCTTTCTGCCTCATCAAGTCAACTTATTTTTGAATGTATAAGAACTCTGTACTTGCTGCTTCTGCCTTTGCTTTTGCTCTGAGGCCTGCAGAACTGACTGATGATCTGCTGTAACGCACTGAATATATGGAGCCAGACATGTAAGACCTGGTCTCTGAAGATGGTGCGGAATTTTCATACTCCTATTTGGTTCCATGATGTATGCATTGAAGTGGAGTACAGGCCCAAGTACAGTTTCCGAGTGGATTCTTTCATTTTTATAATGAAGCTCCTTATCATCACCTGTATACGTATGCTTTTCTACTGTGACGCTTCTGTATACAGATGCATTTTCACTGTGAATCTCCTCTATCTTCATCTGTATACAAATGCCTTTTTACTGTGAAGCTTTCACATCTTCGCCTGTATACAGATGCCTTTTTACTTTGAAGTTCCTATCTTTGCTTGTATACAGATGCCCTTTTCTATGCTGTCCTACTAACAATTAACCTACAGCTAGATAACAAAACTGACAGAAGCAGTGTTGTGTTTCATTCCAAAACTTGAATATACTTCTGTGAATAGTTCTGTAAAACTGCAATACAATCACATAAACTGAAGTTACAATATGCTTGTACACGTCTATTACAAATGCATACAAAGAACACATTTCTTGCAAACAGCTACTTACAAATCACATTGAATACATTGAAATGTGATCTAGCTATGTATGTGACTTTAATAAACACAATGAAAAAAATTACAGGCATATGTATATTAAAGAGAGAATGGAGGCCTTCACTGGTGTTCTTTTAGAATCTGAATGGCCACAATGGTTTATGGGAAATCTTTATGTTTAACAAACACTTCCTGTTATTTATTGATAGGGGTGCAATAATAAAAACAGGTGCAGTTGCAGTGAATGCCCAATGGATGGTTCCCTACTAAACACAATGATGATATACGATATACAGAACAATCCCATTCAATTATTTTCAAGATGCTCTTAATAACTGCATCAGTTGTCTTTTTCAAACGACTTAATTTTCACATCTCTGGATTGCTATGGGGTACTGGTCCACCTCAGGTCAGTATTTTGTTGGTTCAAAGACCGTGGACTTAGGGTACTCATGGGGAGGACTGGGAGGACATCTGGGAAGGTCCTGTATACAACTAGTCTCCAGCAGGGATAGAATATTACAATTTAAATTGCTTTTAAATATACCCTCAATGCTGTTCTGATTGTTGGCAGTGTTTGTTGGCCTTGGTCGATTTTATGCAGATGCTGTGGTCATGTGTTACTATACAGTTTTACTGGGAAGGAGTGCTTGATTTTATCTTCAAACTGACTACAATTTGTGTTCCTTCCTTGGTTGAGTCCTGTATAATGGGTTGGTTGATGCTTTGGCACATACGAGAGCTGTGAGAACCTTACTTGGTCTACTATTATTTTATGCCAGGAAGTCAATAGTTCTGCACTTGAAATCCCCTACTGGTCCCACTTTAGCTATATGGAAATCACGTATCCACTCAGTCGTTTCCTTATACAAAGCAACTTACCATTCTAGAGAGCATTCAAAGAAGTTTAACAAAATCTGTGATGTCTGGGTTCATTCAGTTCTGACAGCTGCTTAATGAAGTATACCCCTAACTATGATTACTGCTTGTTTTGTCTCCCCTCTTAGGATGCTGGCTCCATGGTATCGTAAGGCCTCATTTTGATAAGTCCCCTAACCCCCCCCCCCCGAGTCACATTTTACATGTATCCCCCCTAATATGGTATCGGGCATGACTATTATGTGATGCAATTCTTCTTACTTTTACTTGGTACTCTGTCTGAGCAATGTACAGTAGATGCCATGGTTATCACTGCTGGCCATACATTGATTGACCACTAGCCTACAGGGCACTTATACCCCCTTCCTGCCCAGGCCAATTTCACGCTTTCAGCGCTGTTGCATTTTGAATGACAATTGCGCGGTCATGCAACACTGTACCCATATGAAATTTTTATCATTTTTTTGTGACAGATAGAGCTTTATTTTGGTGGTATTTAATCAACTCTGGGTTTTTTATTTTTTCTTAAAAAAAAAAACAAAAATCACTGAAAATTTGAAAAAAAAAAAGTTTTTTCGTAGTTTTTGTTATAAAATTTTGTAAATAAGTATTTGATTTTTCTCCTTCACTGATGTGCGCTAATGAGGCTGCAATGATGGGCACTGATAGGCTGCACTGATGGACACTGATAGGTGGCACTGATGAGGAGGCACTGGTAGGTGGCACTAATGGGCATTGACAGGCATCAGTGATGGGCACTGAAAGGCAGCACTCAAATATGGCACTGATAGGCAGCACTGAAAGATGGCACTGATAGCGGCACTGACTGTCACTGATAGGCAGCACTGACTGGCACTGTTAGGTGGCACTGACTGGCACTGTTAGGCGGCATTTATAGTCAGCACTGATGGGCACTGATAGATGGCACTGATGCACACTGATCGGCAGCACTGACTGGCACTGATAGGCAGCACTGACTGGCACTGATAGGCGGCACTGACTGGCAGCACTGATAGGTGGCACTGATTGGCATTGATAGGTGGTACTGACTGGCACTGATGGGTGACACTGAAAAGCAGCTCAGATAGGCACTGATATGTGGCATTGATGTGGCACTGATGGGCACTGGCAGGTGGCATGGATGAGCACTGAGAGCTGGCACTGATGGACACTAACAGGTGACGCTGCTGGGGCTACACAGATCATCAGGGCACACTGATCATCAGTGCTCTGATGATCTGTGTACATGTCCCCTTTGAGGAAAGTCGACTACCGGCTCTCCTCTCCTCTTGAGCTGTCAGCGTGACCGGCATTTCCCTGTTTACATGTGATCAGCTGTGATTCGACACAGCTGATCACATGACCGAACCGGCATCTTAGGCTCTTTCTGTGGATCGGTGATCCGCTATGTCCGAGGGACACAGCTCACCGCCAATTGCCACACTGCATGCTTCGGGAGCTGCGCATGCTCGGTTAGAATGGGAGGACGTCATATGATGTCCTCCCATAACGAGAGAACCGCCTTGCGACCCTCATATTACTATATGGCGGGCGGGAGGTGGTTAAATAAGACGGAAACAATTTTTATTTTTATATCAAAATACATGTTTGTTTTTCTAGATTGTAAAAATAAAATTGCATATTGTTTTTAAAAAAAAAAATTCTTATTGAACTGTTCAAATTTTAGTGCCGTTAAAGTCCCATCCAAAAGAGGATCCCCCCCCCCCCCCTTGTTTTCTTTAGGGATGTTGGCACCTTGTGTATTATATCCCTTCCCTTTTCTATTTTTATATCAAAAGTGCACATTTTTATTTAACCACTTTCCCTCCGCCCTACAGCAGGTTTACTGCAAAATCATGTACATATATGTTATTTTGCAATTCCACCACATGGGGGGCGTGCATGCCATCGGAGGATCGCTTCTGCTGTGAAATGTCACAGCACAAACCAATCTACAAGTCTCCAGGAGCAGTTGCTCACCGGCACCTGCAGATAATCTGTCAGGGAGGAAGATCAGGGCTGTGTTTATATAGATACAGTTCTGTTGTGACAGGGGGAGTCATGAATCCTGTGTCTCTGCAGAGCTCAAAACAGGATCCATCACTTCCCATAGTAAAAGCGCTAAACACATAGCTAGGCACACACTTAACCCTTTGATCAGCCTAGATGTTAACTCTTTCCCAACCAGTGTCATTAGTACAGTGATTAGTGTATATTTTTAGCACTGGTTCCCGCAAATTGTCATTTAGTGTAAAAATGTCCACTGCAATATCGCAGTCCCGCTATAAGTCGCTGATCGCTGCCATTACTAGTAAAAAAACAAAATTCCAGTATATGTACCATAGTTTGTAGGCACTATAACTTTTGTGCAAACTAATCAATATACAATTATTGGAATTTTTGTAACCAAAAATATGTAGCAGAATACATTTTGGCCTAAATTTAAGAAGAAATTTGATTTTTAACATTTTTATTGGATATGTTTTATAGCAGAAAATAAAAAAAATTGTATTTTCTTTTCGAAATGTCAGTCTTTTTTTCTTTATAGCACAAAAAGTAAAAACCGCACAAGTGATCAAATACTACCAAAAGAAGGCTCTATTTGTGGGTAAAAAGGACCTAAATTTCATTTGGATACAGCGTTGCATGACCACGCAATTGTCAGTTAAAGTAACGCAGCACCATATAGCAAATAATAGCCTGATCAGGAAGGGGGGTAAGTCTTCTGGAGGGCAAGTGGTTAAACTAGTTCTTCAGATTAAATGGATGTGTAGGCAAACTCTGAGCACCTTTACCAAAGTGATCATTTTGATTTCAGGGCTGATTCATCTACATCTATCCTTACTGTCTGCTGCTATTGTTGCCTTTTCCTTTATGACTATACAGCCATTCTGTGTTGAACTACTGCCATCTATCAACAGGCTAAAATACATTATGGAGAAGTATATGCACTGCTCAAAAAAATTAAAGGAACACAGAGTATAGGATCAAGGCAATTAAACTCCTGGGATATTGATATGGCCAGTTAAGTAGCAGAGGAATCAGTTTCAGCTGCTTTGGTGGTAATGAAATTACCAAAAGGTGTATTATATATGCAACAATGAGATGACCCCCAAAACAGGAATGGTTTTACAAGTGGAGGCCATTGACAATTTTTTCCCTACTCATCTTTTCTGTCTGTTTTTCACTAGTTTTGCATTTGGCTAGGGTCAGTGTCACTACTGGTAGCATGAGGCGATACCTAGACCCTACAGAGGTTGCACAGGCAGTCCAACTCCTCCAGAATGGCACATCAATATGTGCCATTGCTAGAACATTTGCTGTGTATCCCAGCACAGTCTCAAGAGCATGGAGGAGATTCCAGGAGACAGACAGTTACTCTAGGAGAGCTGGATAGGGCCGTAAGAAGGTGCTTAACCCATCAGCAGGAGTGGTATCTGCTCCTTTGTGCAAGGAGCAACAGGATGAGCGCTGCCAGAGCCCCACAAAATGACCTCCAGCAGGTCACTGGTGTGAAAGTCTCTGACCAAACATTCAGAAACAGACTTCATGAGGGTGGCCTGTGGTCCGACTTCCTCTAGTGGTCCATGTGCTCACTGCCCAGCACCACAGAGCTCGATTGACATTTGCCATTGAACACTAAAATTGGTAGGTCCGCCACTGGCGCCCTGTGCTTTTCACAGATAAGAGCAAGTTCACCCTGAGCACACGCGACCAATGTGAAAGGGTCTGGAGAAGCCATGGACAATGTTATGATGCCTGTAACATTGTTCAGAGTGACTGTTTTGGTGGTGGGTTAATGATGGTCTGGTGAGGCATATCAATGGAGGGACACACAGACCTCTACAGGCTAGACAATGGCACCCTGACTGCCATTAGGTATCGGGATGAAATTCTTGGGCCCATTGTTAAACCCTACATTGGTACAGTTGGTCCTGGGTTCCTCCTGTTGCATGACAATACCCAGCCTCATGTGGCAAGACTATGCAGGCAGTTCCTGGAGGATGAAGGAAATTATACCAATGAATGGCCCCCACACTCGACTGACCTAAATCCCTTCTGGGATATCGTGTTTTGGTCCATCTGAAGCCACCAGGTTGCTCCTCAGACTGTCCAGGAGCTCAATGATGCCCTGGTCCAGATCTAGGAGGAAATACCCCAGGACACCATCCATCATCTCGTTAGGATCATGCCCCAACATTGTTAGGCATGCATACAAGCACGTGGGGCCCATACAAACTACTGAGTACCATTTTGAGTTGCTGCAATGAAATTTCAGCAAATTGGACTAGCCTGCTGCATCATTTTTTCACTTTGATTTTCAGGGTGTCTTTGAATTCAGTCCTCTGTATGTTGATAACTTTAATTTCCATCAAATGATGGGGCATCCTTACTTTCCTAACGCATTACTCAGTCCATATCAGTATAGATATACAGCATGATATTTTTCTTCATTGAGATATGATTGACTTTCAAAGTGTTCCTCTAATTTTTTTGAGCAGTGTACTATCTTAAATTGCCATGTTCGGACATGATTAACTTTGCTGTCCTTTTAGAAAGATCTGTTCTTCGCAAGGTTTCCCAAATATGTCAACTTGAAGACAGAGAAGCATAGCAAACTATTTAGAGTAGATGTGAACCCTAACTTAATGACATTTAATTTGCTAAAGCAATGTGTTATATAAATAATTAAAATATTTCTAAATAAAATCCATAGCAATGGAAAAAGCCTGAGAGTTTTGATTGTCACAGAGGTGTCCGTTGATTTAATGTTATAATTCAGTTGAATACACCATGTGGTATTAGGAAAAAAATCATTAGAAGAATTACTTTCTTGGTAAAAATATATATTTTTTAGACAACAATGGTAGGCTTTTCCACTGTTATTGAGTTCATCCAACCTTCTTGATGTCACTCAAGTAGACCTAGGAATGAGCATTGAGAGTGGTCATTCCATTCCCTTCGTTGAGATAGAAATTTTCTCCACAAGTGATCATCCAAGGGTGCACACTATTTACTGTATGTACAGTCATCCACATTTGTCTCATAATTTTTAGTTAATCACTTGCCAACTGCCCACAGTAATTTTATTGCGGGCGGGCGGCTTGTACAAGCACAATCACATATCTGTACATCAGCACCTTCTTCCAGGTTCAGGGTGTGTGCATGTCCCCTTTCCACCTACTCTTCAGCTAATCCCAACTGGCTAGAAGTCAACTTTTTTCTTTGGACTATCCCTAGGGCCAATTCACAGAGCTTTGCAATGCTGCTGCAGAAGTGAACGATAAACAGTTTCCCAAATCACTCTCATGCCCAGTGTCTTCATACTAGCTTTGCCAAACACCCCATTAATGCTTTTATTGTGCCCTATTGTGCTTCTACACCACAATGTAAGGTTATCTGCCACCATTATTTTGCCCAGAAGGCCATACTTTGGCCACCATTACTTTGTACAGGAAACCATCCCTATCCTCCACCAGTATGTGGAATTACATGAGGCACTGGAGAAAGTACAGGAGGAATATGGGGAAGAGGAAGGTCGGGGTGCTGGTGGTGAGGAGGGGCATTGGGGTTTAGTGGGGAAGAGGAGGATTGGAGGTGAGGAAGAAAATGTTGGGAGGTTTCAAGAGGAATGTTTCGCCCCTCCCCATGAAAGAAAATCTGGAGGATTTACTGTCAATATCCCAATCCAACAACCATGAGAAAGGGTAGGCAGCAGAAAAAATTAGGTGTACAACCCCACAGCCATAGGGTGCTATCCCGAAATCACAGGAAAAGCTGCTCTTTTTTGCAGCTTGCCAGCACATACTCATATGCCAAAGTTGTGTACATCAAAGTTCCACATATTTATACCTCCCATTTTCATAGCTGTCAATAAATGTACAGTCAGGTCCATAAATATTGGGTGTATAGAGCCAAAAATGTTAGAATTGTGTCGATGTCCCAATATTTATGGACCTGACTGTATTTAAAAAAAACAGGAAGACTTGAAGTCAGAGGTATAGTTTCTGCATGTAAAGGTAGCATGTTTTTTTCCAGGATTTTTAACAGTAGTTACAGATTTCATTTTTTTATAAGTACCTTTAATAATGTTTTTTTAATTTTTTTTTACCTTGTTATGCCATTCCTGCCATAGTAAAGCAAGAATTGCAATGCAATCTGGGTACTCCCTTAACAAAAAAGAAAGATCTCTACAGTACCTTGTTTC